TCCTGTATGCTGGGGAATGCACATTTTAAAGCATTTGGTAACACTGCCAAATGAGTCCACAGAAAGGTCTGTACTGATTTATAATATTCTGACCAGCAGTACATCAAAGTGTCTGTTTTTCTGAACCTTACCAATGCTGTGTATTTAGTCTTTTTTGATTTTTACCATTTGATAGGTAGGAGAAGACCATATCAAATTATTTTAATTTGCAGTTCTAACAGGGAACTAACATTTTCCCATCTGCTTAGTGTGTGTATGTATTTATATTTATACATGTTTTTAATACCCTGTTCATATCCTCTGCTCATTTCTCCCAACTGAGTTAAAAATCTGCCTTTTGGTAACTTTCCTCTTTTGGTCCAAATTGTGCCTTCTGGAACTATCCTAAGTAAGATTAATTCCTCCCTCCTATGACACCCCCTCAAATACCTCAAGACAGAAATCATGTCTTACTTTCTCCAAGACAAACACCCCCGGCTCCTTCAACCCTTTCTCACTTGGCACAGTTACAAGGTGGTCACTGAAGGCTTCATGCTAAGTCCTGCTGCCCCATCACCCTGTCCACACAAACACTCATGGGGACAGACCTCACGCGACTCCAGGAGAGCCTGCCCGGGGTCACCTGTGCAGGCTCTGGGTGTAGTCAACAGCCTGCACCCTGGGCCTCAGACTCATCTCTTCTGCTCATCCACCAGGATCCCGAGTTAGACTCATGACAATCATGGCATTTCTCATGACACTGTAGGCCTGCAGCCCAAATAAAGTGGTCAGAAGGAGAGTACTTGGAGGCCAGAAACAGGATGAGGAATTTGCCTGGTATAATGAGAATGACTAATGACTTCAGAAGAGGAAGACATTAAGAAAGGGATGGGCTCTTGGAACCAGGGTCCCAAGAGCTGGATTTGGTGGTACCCACCTGCCCTGGGACGAGCCTCCTCCTCCAGGAAGCTCTCCTGACCCTGGGGTCACTTGGGGTGCGGGGTCCCACGCCCTGTCCCCAGGGCTGGTTGTTTCACCACACTCTCCACTCTCCTGTGGTCGTCTGTGTTCGTGCTGGCCCCCAGCCATATGTCTCTGTGCTCCCTGAGGGACGGGCCCACGTCTGGCGCTGGAGAGCCTTGCTCAACAATGGGCACACATCCGGCCATCACGTGTGCTCCGTGAGCTGAGCGGCTGTGGGAAGGTGGATGTCCACACCTTCCAATACAAATCTGGTCTCACAAGGACCTCAGAGGCTCACAGGTTCCCTGGACAACAGACACGAGCGTCCGCGTCAGAGACCAGGTAACCCCACGGCATGACTGGATCACATCTGGGGAATCCATCAGCTTCCGAGGGCTCTCCCACAGTAGCTGGGGCTGACCAATTCTAGAGCACCATCAGGACTGTTTCTAGATCTCAGAGCTGAGGTCCAGGCTCTGAACACTGTGAAGGCTGTGCTGCTTTATGAGTTCTTGTCTCGAGTCTAGCCAGGGGCCTCGGGCAAGCAGCATCACGACAATTTTGTGCATTATGGTTTAAGTAGGTAAAAAAATTTATAAATAAAAAATACATAAACTAAGAAATATATACACTTACATGTATATATGTCAAGCTGATATATGTATACATACAGCCAACATTAAGCGCTGAAAACTCCTGGAAACATTAAACTTCGCGCCATGAACTGTTTACCTCAGCTGCTATTACCTGACACATCACATCTGGATTTCAACACAGATTTACAAGGTATGCTAAAAGGCAAGAAAAAAACACAGCCTAAGGAGACAAAGTAAGCAACATTACCAGACTCAGATATGACACAGACCTTGAGATTACTAGACAGGGAATTTAAAATAACTATAATTAATATGTTAAGAGCTCTAGTGGGAGAACAGACAATAGCAAAAACAGGTAATGCAAGCAGAGGGATGGAAACTCCAGGAGGAAAGCAGAAGGAAATGCTAGAAATAACAAACATTGTCGAAATGAGGACTGCCTTTGATAGATCGTCAGTAGATTGGACATTGCCAAGGAAAGACTCAGTGAGCTTGAAGACATGTTGATTGAAACTCCCAAAACTAAAATGCAAAGTGAAAAAAAAGAGTGAAAAAAATCCAGAACACAATACCCCCAACTCATAGTACAATTTCAAATGATACAATGCATGTGCAATCGCAATACCAAAGAGAGAAGAAAGAGAATAGAACCAAAGGAATATGTGAAAAACAATGTCTGAGAATTTTTCAAAATTAATGACACCAAACCACAGACACAGGAAGCTCAGACATGACCAAGCAGTATAAATAACCAAAAAGCAAACCAAAATGAACTATTGAGGCATGTCATTGAACTACTGAGGTTTTTTTCCAGAAAACCAAAGACAAAAAAAGTCTTGAAAGAAGGCAGGAAATTAAAAAAAAAAAAAGTTCCACACCATCTGTAAAAACACAAGGATAAGAGGTCTGTGGACTTCCCATCAGAAACCATGGAAACAAGAAGAGAGAATATTCATTCATTCATTCATTCATTCATTCATCAGCAGGCTCCACGCCCAGCATGGAGCCCAATGTGGAACTCAAACTCACAACTGTGAAATCGAGACCTGAGCTAAGATCAAGAGTCAGATACTTAACCAACTGAGCCATCCAGGCACCCCAAGAAGAGAGAATATTTAAAATGTTGGAGGAAAATAAGCATCAACCTAAAATCCTATGTCCAGTAAAATTATCCTTCAAGAGTGAAGGAGAAATAATGACTTTCTGTGAAAAACAAAAATAGAATTCATCGCCAGCAGAGCTGTCCTGCAAGAAATGTCAAAACAGGTTTTTCAGGAAGAAAGAAACTATGTGGGTTAGAAACACGGATCCATATAAAGGAAAAATGTCAGAGAAAGAATAAATTCAGGTAAAATAAACTTTTCTATTTTTATTATTCTTAATTGAGCTAATATATTTCCGTGTGTTCCGAGCAATAATGGTAACATTATGTGTAGGGTGATGAGGCCCATGACCGCGTGGGAGCAGAGCCGCAGGTGATGGAGGGAGGGAGAAGGAAAGACGGGTGACAGAATCCTTGCACTACCCACAAAGTGGTACAACAGTACTTGAAAGTGGATTTACATTAGTTGTAAATGTATATTTCACACTTAGGGCAAACAATAAACATAAATATATTTTTAAAGATTTTATTTATTTTAAAGAGAGAGAGGGCGAGCAGGGGGAGGGGCAGATGGAGAGAGAGAATCTCTAGCAGACTCCCTGCTGAGCACGGAGCCTGACGTGGGGCTTGGATTTCGCGACCTTGAGATCACGACCTGAGCTGAAATCAAGAGTCGAATGCTCAACCAACTGAGCCACCCAGGTCCCCCAATAAATATATTTTTAAAGAAACCCATAATTGATATGCTAAGATAGGAGAGAATATGAAATCCTAATCAGAGAAGGCAGCGAGGGGAAAAAGAAAAGAACAAATACAATGAATAGAAAAGATGCTAGGCATTAATCAAAGTGTATCAATAATCACACTAAATGTGAATGGTTTAAACACACAAATTAAAAGGCAGATTGTCAGAGTGGGTAAAAACACTAGACCCCACGACATACTGTCTACAAGAAACTCACTGTAAATACAATGACACAGTTAGGCTAGGAGCAGAAGGATGGAGAAAAACATACCATGCTAATACTAATCCAAACAATGCTGGAGTGGCTGTATTATTTTCAGACAAAGTAGAATTCAGAGCAAGGAAACTTATTAGGGATAAGGAAGGCATTACATAACGACAAAGGGGTCAATTCTCCAAGAAGACACAAAAACCCTCAATGTGTATGAACCAAACAACAGAGCATCAAGAGATGGGAGGCAAACAAGGGCAAAACTACCAGAAGAAGGCGGCAAATCCTGTCTCTGTTATGGTTGGAGACTTCAACGCCCCACCCTCAGGGACTGATACGTTGAACAGGTAAATAATAAGGACACAGTTGTCCTTAACAGCGTTATCAATCAACCTGATCTTATGGACACTTAAATAAATGCTCAACAGCATATATTCTTTGGCTTAAGAGACAGATTGAGCTATAATTCACACACATAGACTGTGCCGTCGTCAAGTGTACAGTTCAGTGGTTTTTCAGACTGTGGAGTTGTGCGACCAGCACCGCTATCTGATTTCAGAACATCTGTGTCACCTTGAAAAGAAACGCTGTACCCACAGTCATCCCCGGCACCCGGAAACCACAAATCTACTTTCTGTAGGGAAGGATTTGCCTTGTCTGGATACTGCACATAAATGGAATCAGATCACATGCTGCCTGCGTGTCTGCCTTCTTTGGCCTAGCATGACGTTTTTCAGGGTCACCAATATGGTAGCATGGATCCTTGATTGGCTGGATAACATTTCGTTGTACAGATACTCCACGTTTTATTTATCCATTCATCAGCTGATGCACACATTCAGCTGCTTCCACAGTCTGGCCACTAACGGGGCTGTGAACGTTCACATGCATGTTTCTCTGCAGACAAATGCTTTGGGTTCACCTGAGCGCACCCTGGAGTGGGACTCCTCCATCATAGGGCAGCTCTACGTTCAACACCGTGAGGACCGTCCAACCGGTTTCCCAACCAGCTCACCATTTTACATTCCCACCAGTGCTGCTGAGGGTTGCCAGGGGCTCCACATCCTCACCAGCACCTGCGGCTGTCCGTCTGTCTGTCTGAACCATCCCAGTGAGTGTCGGAGGTACCATCTGAAATGCCACCATGGTTTCACCCAGGGCTCTGGGTGACAGAACTCAGAAATGGCTGAGGCTCCCACCACCCTTGCAGGATTGCTCTTTGCAGAAACCTTTGCCTCAAGAAGCAGGAGTTTTTCCAGTTACAAAGATTATTATGTTCTAAGCACAAAGAAAAATAAGAATATCTTACTGCCTCTTTCCATAGGATTACATCCCTAGCGGGAAAGCAGTATTAGGTGAGAAGAGTGCCTGACTCCCTTGGGATGAATATGTGGCCTCACTTACCTGCTGGGGGCCACGCCTTGATGTACCCCGTGCAGTGGACCACAGCATACTGGGCCTCCCCTTCTTTCACGGGACCAAGGCCGTTCCTAAAGAAAGAGCGTTTGTGAGATGGCTCTCAGCCCCTGGTGGGAAGGCAAGGTCACCGATGGGTCCTCTGTGATCTAAGCTCCTGGGGTTGCACCTGCCTTGTGAGTTTCAATGTTGCCTTCCCCCCAGCCTGCTTTCCCTCCTGCAAAGCTGCACCCAGCTCCCCTCCCTGCTCAGCCCTGCAGCCCCAGCCCAGATGTGCGCACCACACGCCCCTCCCTGCACTCGGTCCCTCTTCAGGTCCCGCCACCCCCTAGCTCAGTGCACTTAGGCTTTCCAGCAGCATGGCCCCAAACACACGTCAGAAAAGCCTACTGACCTGAACCTTTTCCTCATGGTGGTTATTCTGTTTAGAGGGAGGTGATCCAAAGGAGCGTTTCCACACCTGAGATTCGAGAAATCATTACAATGAAAAACGCCCAAGTTTATGAAGGCTGGAGTGTTGCAGTCAGAAAGGTGGGTCTGATCTGATGCTCACCCAACTGACCCAAGTGAGCCCAACAGCCGGTTCCCTTCCAAAGTGTCGAAGTGGGCTTGCGTGCCCTGGGACATGGACTGTCCCTGAAGGCCAGGGCAGTGAGACCCACTGGGCAATGCTCGGGGCCCAGCCCGGAGGGTGGAGACACAGAAAGACTCCAGGGGATCTTGGCCACGCTCCAAGCTGGAGACTCATGTCTGTGGCACTGGGTGGCTTTCGGGAAAGCAGGGAAGTGGGGGAGGACCGTGGTAGCGTCTCTTCACGCCTCAGCAGAGACAGCAACTCAAAACACATGGTACCCACTGGTGACAAGGAACATCTTCTCGGGCTTGGGCTGCAGTCGTGGGACCCTCCCTCCCACCTGCTGGGGAGTAACACGGCCACCATGGCCACTGACGGCAAAGGGCAGAGTGGGGACAGAGGGCAGAGCGGCCTTTCCAAAGGTCCTTCCAGGGAGGCCAGGCCGCTCTGGGGGGCCTGTCCCGCCTCTCTCCGCCATGGCCCCCCAGGCTCTGAACAGCATGGTCTACACCGTGGCCAGAGCTGGTAGCCACTTGGTCTACCCCGCCTCACGTGGGCTCCCCGCTCCCAACTCCACGACAGCTAACGCTCTGGATGTCTTCCTACTCAACACGGCCAAGGTAAGGGTCCAACTGTCCTCTGAACCCTGGGACCGCTGCCGGCACATGCGTGTCCCCCCAGCAGGGCCAATCCAGGACCCCGCCACCTGGGCGAGCTTGCCTGGCTTTCAGCATCTTCCTAAAACTAACCCACTTTATTTGGAGGGCAAGGTCATGCGCTCGGCAGACGGCAGGGCCACCCACCTCACAGGTGAATCCGGGTTGTGTGGCGCCACCTGGACGGTGCCCCCCAGGAACCCCCAAGGCAGGGAGGGGCCTGCCTGAGTCGTCGTGATGGGGCAGTGCTCACGGCACGGAGGCTACTTGCAGACGCTCCCAGGGAGGGCATTCATGGGGGGACGGCTTGGGGCTGCTGGGATGGGTGTGCTCTGCTGACCAAGGCACCCGTGTGTTGTGCCAATGGCCTCCCATCTTATTCAGAGTAAAAGCTGATGTCTTATGACTACCTGACATCCCAACCTTACTGACGACCATTCCCCTCCCCACGCCCTGTTCACTCTGCTCCGCGAGAGTAGCCTTCTGGTTCCCTGAGCATGACGAGAACATCCTTTTGCCTCAGGGCCTTTGCACTTGCTGTTCCCTCTGCCTGGTGTTTTCTTTCCCCAGATAGTCCCAGGTCTCCACTCTAAATGTCACCGTATCAAGGGGAGCTCCCCTCCCCTACCTACAAACTAACACATAAACCAGTAACTCCTACTCCTTCCTACTTCTTCTTCCATTTGTTTCATTTTCCTCAACAGCACTGACCACCATCGGGCATTTCAAGTATCTATGTGGTACTTTCATCTCCCTGACTGAAGTGATGCTCTAGATGCTTGGAGGTTTTGTTTGCTTTATTCCGCGCTGAGCCCTGGCATCTTGACAACCACCTAATGCAGGCAGGCCAGCAATATAAATGTGTCTGATAACTGAATGAATGAATGAGAACCATTGCCTCGTTTTAGAGCCTCCAGAGCCCCACACACCAGGCAGACTCCCTGTCAGGCACCTCCCGCCTGCTCCCAACAGGGCCTCGGGGTATAGGACGGTCTCAGCTGGATGTGAAGTCTCAAAAGCCCTGTTCTTTCCTCTTCAGGGACAGAAACCTCTCTAATTACCCCCAGGGTCAGTCACTCCTGCACGTCCTCAGCAGCCATGTGCTAGCCACACTCTGCTGCAGGTCATGGGGGCTCAGGGAGGCTAACTCAAACCTCCTACCCTTGGGGCACTCGCAGAACCGAGATATTTACACCAAGAACATCAATCGACAATATCAAACTTAAATTCTAATTAAAATGTACGATTTGGCACAGGAAACATAAAACTATGAAATCGACCGATCTTACATAAACTATGTTGAGAAATGCAGAGCCTGGAGGGCTTGAAGAACCGGTAGAAAGTTGAGACCTAGGGGACAGGGGAAGCCAACCCGGGAGTGGGCAGAACGCGGCGGGAAGTCAGGCCGAGGGACGAGAGCCCTCCCAGACGGACCGCAGGGGCTGCAGGCTCGTAGGCCACAGCCGGGACCCCGATGTGGGGCAGCAGCAGAGCCCATGGCAGGACAGAAGGAGCGGACCACCCACAGCCACGGCCCCCCGGCACCCCACACACCTCATCCTGCAGATGAAGGACCTCCGCGAGCCCATGCACATCCTCATGGAAGACTGCTGCCCTTCTTTCTTGACTGTCCCCGTCTTCAGGTCCAGGATCCGGCCTAAGTGAGAGAGGGACACAGGTGTAAGCCTCTGCCTTCGGTGGGGGTGCGGGGCGGGGTTGCGGGGGGAGAGCTTTCTCCAAAGGCTCTCTGCAGAGGAGGACAGACAGGGCTGTGCAAATTGTTTCTTGGATCCCCAGCATTCTGTCTGGGAACACGCGGAGACACAAAATCCATATGGTTCTAAATGCCCCATCTTCTTCGGAGGGCTGTCTACACCTGCTGTTCCCGCTCCTTCGGATGCCACCGTCTGGAGCCATCCCAAGTCGGTTTCTCCCCATCACGTCATGGAGACAGCATTTGCCGAAGTCGCCAGAAACTTCCTTGCTGCTGATCCCAACACCCAATTCCCTTGGTCTCCGCTCCTCTCCTCTCTCCCCTCACCCCCCTGGCGACCTCAGCTGGGCCACTGTCTCTCCTCCCCCTGGGCACCCCGACCAAATTTACCCACTCCAGGGACGGCGGCCTGGATGACGCTGATAATCCCGTGCGCACGCCTCCAGCACCACCCCTCCATCCCCTCGGCCCCAGACCACCACCAGCTCCTCCCCGACGTCAGCAAATGCATCGCCATCCACACGGAAGTCAAGCTCAGAAGGCCAGACGCCCTGTGGGAGTCCTTCCCTCCGTCACCCCCCGCACGCCCACCGGTCTGTCCATCTCCTCCGCCTGCCTGCCATCCCTCAACGGAGACTCACGGGCTCCCAGCCTCCAGCCTCCTGCCAGGACGCCTCGCACACGGCCACCAGCTGTGTCCACAGCACGCACCTGACTGCCCACCTACGGGAGCTCCTCACAGCGTGCTTTGGAACTCAGCCCTGTCCCGCCTGGGCCTTGGCCCCACAGCCTGCCCTCTGGCAGCCTACAGAAGTCTCCACCTACAACACAGAACAGCCACGGCTTCATCACGCGTGTGACCCAGGCACTCAGCCTTGCTGGCCCATGGTGGCTTTGTTTGTTTTTTCTTTTTCTGCAAAATGGAGGCATCAGGTCTCGTGCTCAGGATTGCGGTGATGGTGTGTGATCTGCACACACGAGGAATGCGGTTAGTGTGAGGTTCCTGGCAGACTCAAACAAATGACCACAGGCGCCTGGGTGGCTCAGTCGGTTAAGCGACTGCCTCTGGCTCAGGTCATGATCCTGGAGTCCCGGGATCGAGTCCCGCATCGGGCTCCCTGCTCAGCGGGGAGTCTGCTTCTCCCTCTGATCCTCTTCCCTCTCGTGCTCTCATTCTCTCTCTCTCAAATAAATAAAATCTTTAAAAAAAAACAAAACAAAACAAAAACCAAAAAAACAAATGATCACATCACACTCCTTGAAAACCTTCCATGCTCCCCACTACGGATTCTCAATAAACTCCAAGTCCTTCCGCCCACCGTGAAGGGCCCCCCCCCCCCCCCCAGATCTGGCCTCTGGGGCTGCACCTGCTGCACCCTGCCTGCCCCTCCCCCCGCTGCTCCAATCCCGCCCGGCTCAGCCAGCTCCCTGTCCCTACCCGCCCCCTTGTGCTGCTCTGCCTCCTGAGGCTCTGGGCCTTCCCAGTAGCTCCCCCTTCCCTTCGCCCACCTCCTGCTTATTGTCCCAACTTACCCCTGTATTTATTAAATGCACAGTTAATCAGGCAGAGGACATGAGAGTCTAGCGGGTGAACAGACAGCAAAACCCAAAGAACAGAATGGGGGTGGGGTGGGGGAGGGAAGCAGGGACGCTGTCAGGTGGGGATAAATGCTCTAAACAAAAATATCGCAGAGTAGGAATAAAAACACGACCAGAGACCCACCCCTCTGCAACAGACCACTCAGTGGGTTCCCATCACTTGAAATCACAAGGGCCTTGAGGAAGACCCCCGCGAGGCCAGGGTCTCACTGCGCCAGGGGGGAGAAGGCGTGCAGGGCGGCGGGGGGGGGGGGCCCCGGTGCCTGGGGGGCCCTCTCCCTGGGCTGGAGCCGGTGCCTCACGGGCTGTCCCCCACTAGCACCCACAGCAGTAGCGGGCGCACGGCCACGCCCACGGCAGCCCGAACGTCTTCAGGCAGGACGCGCCCACCAGACTTGAGCCCCACGGAGAGGCCCACGCCCTGTCTGCCAAGGGCTGCCCGAGCGGGTGCCCCAGGCGGCGGCTGCCCCGGGGCTGACACCTGTCTGTCCACTCGCAGACAGCTGCTCCTTGCGGCTGTTTCCAGGGGAAACTGTCACTCGCTGTATCATCAACCAAGTGGCAAGTGGTTTCAGCTGTGAGGCAGGCCAGCCTGAGAGTCTGTCAAATTCCAAAGTGTGCTCTGAAAATAAACCACGGCTGCGTAACACATGAGCCGTGGAATATGAGGAAATGAGAAAACACATTTCCATGATCTGGAATGGACCCCGAGAGACGATGGCTGCCACGTTTGTTTCTCTGTGTGCTTCTCCAGTTTCCTCGGGCACAGGGAGCCCCCTTTCCGGGCTCCTTGGGGGAAAGCACGCTTAGCTTTATACGGCGGATGTGTTCCTGAAAGGTGGCCCTTGAAACTGGGTTTTTGACAAATCCGAAAGCAGCGGAGACGTACAGAGGCAAGTGGCCGCCCCCCAACACTGGGCAGTGAGTCCCGGGAAAGGGGACCGGGGATCACGCTCCGTCCCACCAGCAACGGGGCATCGGGCTTACTTGCAACAGGGCTCCCCTGCAGGGAAGGGGACACAGAGACGCGGCCGCTACGTGCTTTGCTTCCAGTCTTCTCTTCTGGCCCACAGAACCCTCAGGTCTGCTTAGAACCATGGGGCTGGGTTCCCAGGGCTGCTCCCAGCGGGTCCCTCAAAGCACAATCAGTCCAACTGCTTCCAGAGTCCAGCCTCATCCCCGGGGTCAGAGGACTCACTCTGCAATGCCGTCCCGGGGCGGCCCCGCCACCAATCAATCCCAGCCTGCTCCCCTGGGCGGGTGCTGAACCCCCAGCCACGCGGCCACCTCTCATCTCCGTACTCTTCATGCATGATCCCTGCTCCCCTCCTCCCCTCGGGGGTGCTCTCTGGAATGCCCATTCTGCAACAGACAGACTCCTACACCCTTGACTTCTTTCAGAAGTTCCCTGAACCCCAAGTTAGCAGACCAGCCCAACCGACTGCTTCCCCAGCAGCATGCCTTGCAGAGAGGAGGCGTACCCTCCCACAGCCCAGATGCCACGTGGTCAGAGGTGGGCCTGCCTCTTCCCCCGGCCCCAGAGCCCTTCCACACGGCACTCCTGTCTATAACCCGCAGCTCCCTCCAGACTCGTGAGTCTGCCTGGAGCACCTGCTACATCTCGGTCTTCCCACCGGTCCACTCCTCGTCCGCGTCAGACTCCAGCTTGTTACACGTCTTTCTCTTCACCTCCAGGCCTGCCGGTCATCGGACTTGGTCCCAGCACCCACATGGAGGACTCCCCAGCATTCCCACTCAGTGCTTGCCCTCCCCCCGTGGGCAGCCACCTCTCCCACCACGACGTTCTGGAACACGAGGCATTCGAAATTTCACATTTGAACATGCTGGTAGTCCTCCCACTCTAGTGCCCCGTGTCACCAAGAGTCCAGCATCTGAGCCCTCAACACCCGTGGGCTTCCTTCCGTATGTAAGTGATGAGCTTCCGACTGGGCGTGCACCCGTGGATCCGCTCTCAGAGCGAGCAGGGCCCACGGGGAACCATGGCCAGCTGTGGCGCAGAGGCCCAGCCATCTTCCCACACAACCAGCAGCTGTGGGAGAGATGTTTCTCTGGACTTGATGCACGGAGGAGAACCATCTGTGAGTGAATGGCAGCGCCCCAGCCTGAAGTATCCTATTCCAGAATGAAGAGGCAGCCAGGGTCAGAGGTGCAGCCCCTGTGAGTGGGTTATGGGGGGGTAAGCAGGCTGCTCCATGTTCTCACAAGTGGAAGTCAGGACCAGACATGCCTGCTCTGAGGGTTATGTGGACAGCTGAAGACTTACATGCAGAAGCTCAATCAACCCCCTTCAAGAGTGAGAATATAAGCAGTTGGCGGCTGGCTCCAGGCAGCAACTCCATGAGCCCCAAGATGACAACAGGGCCCTGGACTGGAGCGCCACAGGTCGGGGGGGGGCTCCCCTACAATCAGCCCAGCCCTGGCCTCCAGGTTTCTCTGAGTGAAGAGGGCATTCTGGAAGGTTCTAGAATACTGCACAAAACCCTGTCTCCAGCTTAAAGACTGAAGAACTACTTAATGTCCCCTTAAAGTGCTTTTATTCTAAAACTAAAGTGGTTTTTGGAAAAATCAAATACACTCACACATACACACATGCACAGTAAAAACCCCAGACAATCTTCCTGTCTGGAGAAAAACACTATTAACATTTGGGCATATTTCCTGAAAATCTTTTTCTGCGCATGCCTATTCTCTCATCAACTGAGGTGCCGCGGTATGTATTTTCCCACCTTCTGTCACAACATAAACTCACAAGAATGTAACCATGAACATTATTTGAAAGGCTCTAAAACATCATTTTGCATAGATGATTTACCAGTGGACACGAAGTTATTCCCAGGCTTTCCACATGGCAAATGATGCCGTGGTCAGTAACTGGGTGAAAAAAAAAAATATATATATATATATATATCCACACCATCTTGGGACAGATTCCCAAAAATGGAATTACATGCGGACAGGCTATCAACACCAATACCTGGTCTACTCTGAGCCTTGCGTGAACCTGTGGTGAGTTCTGGACCCCACTCCGTGTTTCCAGTCCATGACACGGGGAGAATTATGACACATTCCAGGGATTTCAAAGACAATTTTTCTAAGTCGAAAGCATAAAATGCCCTAGAACAGGAGTTGGCAAACTGTGACATCTGACCCCAAGCTGGCTCACTCTCCCTGTTATTTAAATATTTATTGGAACCCGGCCACAGACATTTACTGATTTATTTATTGTCTCCGGCTACTTTCCTATTACAATGGTCGGGCTGAGTAGTTACGAAAGAAACTATAGGACTCAGAAAGCCAAACACCTCGACTACCTGGCCCTTGAC